AAAATTTAAAAAGGAAGAAAAATAGGCCTTATTACTGCCATGCCATAATAAAGTGCCTTTTAAATCGTTGTTGAAACCAAATTGTTGAAGAGTAATAGCAATAGTATCAGGAACAGCAGAGGGCAACAGCCAACCATCATCCCTCAAGAAGTCAGAAACCATGGCATGATAAGGGATGAAATCATCTAAATTGTGATTAGCGAATTCAGCCATAATAGTTTTCCCCATAAAGCCAAGGGTCCCATAGAAAAGAAATAATACTATTCGAATTGAGATCAAAACGAATATTAGAATTCATTTGCAATGCAATCCTACCCATTTCACTCCAAAGAGAAGAAGCTTTGCTCAAAACCGGGGTCCAAGGAGTGCCATATTTGACATTTAAAAATTGAAATAACATGGATTTGGAATTATAAAATCTGAAAACCAGGGAACAACAGTTAGCAAATTGAAGACTGACAAGATCCGGAATGCCCAACCCACCCAGCTACTTGGGCCTACAAGTTTTTTTCCACGCAATCAGATAAAGTTTCCTGGCCTCCACATCTCCAAAAAATAAAAATCTAGAGCACATTCTACTAAGGCTATTTTTTGCAAGTTTTTGTAAGCATAGTTCCCCTAATCCAGTAGGATATTGTATTGCAAATCATGTATTTAATAAATTGCAGCCGCCCCGCAAAAAACAACAGTCTTGCTTTCCAACCGGCAAGATGATTAGAAATAATATTCAGAAGAGGCTGAAAATCAGCTTTACACAGTTTTTTAACAGAAATTGGAATTCCCAGATAAGTCATTTTATCCCCAAAAGAAGTAATGCTGAGAGCTTCACAGATATCCATAGGATTAGAAATAGATTTAGAAATGATAAGTTTGCTTTTTCATGATTAACCAAGAGCCCCGACAACTTTGCAAAAGAATCCAGGATATCCATAAGAACCTTACAATTCTGAGACGAGGCATCCCCAAAAATAAGAAGATCATCTGCATAGAGCAGATGGGAAATAACCAAATCCTTTTTTTGAACACCAATGAATCTCTCAGCCGAGAAAGGATTATCAATCATATAGGAGAAAGCATCCATTGCAATACAAAATAAATAAGGGCTAAGAGGGCACCCTTGCCTAATACCCGAAGAGGAGTGGAAAAAACCTTCAAGATCTCCATAAATACAAATAGAAAAATGAACGTCATAAATGCAAGCCTTTATCCAATTAATAAAAAGAGGGGGAAAACCTTTTTGTTTCATTCTGGCAAAGATGAAATCACGAGAGACTGAATCAAATGCTTTACGAATATCCAGTTTGGAACACAAAAATTTCATATTGACAGATTTTTTGAAGTCCATAAGAATTTCAGAAGCAAGGATTGCATTATCAATCCCAATACGATTCTTGATAAAACCAGCTTGATTCTCCCCAATAATTAAAGGCATGATATCCTTCATCCTCAAAGTCATAATTTTTTAGATTATCTTGTAAAAAATATTGCAAAGAGCAATAGGTCTGAAATCCGAAATGTTAGAAGCATGTGCATATTTGGGTATAAGAGCAATAGCCGAAGCCTTAACAAAGTTGGGGAGATACCCTTTAGAGAAAAAAGATTTTACCGCTTTGCAAATCAAAAGACCAGTAAAAAGACAAGTAGATTTATAAAACTCAAAGTTGAACCCGTCTGGTCTAGGACTGGAGTTGGAATTCCCATTAAAGATAACAACCTTAATATCATCATCAGAGATTGACCCAATAAGCAAAGAAGAGAGATGGGAAGGAATGATATTCCCTTTAGGAATGGGAAGGGGATCACAAAAGGCAGCCGCCTTTGGTGCATTAAATAACTTCTCAAAATGATATATGATAGAATTAATCATATCTCTCCTTACATTAGGATCATCACTAGCCACCAAGTTAGAAGAGCAAATATTCCTTCTCTGCCTAACTCTAGCATAAAGAAATTTCAGGTCATCCTCCCCTTGAGAAAGCCATTTGATTTTAGCCCTTTGAAGCATCCAATTGGTCCAAGAAGAAGAACAATCAGCAAGTTGAGCATTAATACCTTTCAGCCTTTGATTCAAAGTTAAGTTTTGAGGATCATTATTAAGCAGACCCAAACAACAAGATTGTTGCTCCTTGAGAGAGTTGAATTGACAAGTGACAAAAATTTGTCCAATCTTTTCCTTTTATGTTCTCCTTAAATTTTTTTTAGCTTGCTATAAAACCCCAAAATGGGATTGCCACGAATTGGTTGAGAAAAAATGTCAAGAAGTTCAGCCCAGAAACAATCTTGCTTAGTCCAAAA